CACACAGCACAGCGTCACACAGCACATTCATCGGCAGCAGCTCTTCACCGACGGCCCTGGTCACAGAGAGAGAGATGAACAGAAGGGACCGATACAAATCTACCCCTCAGTAAATGTGCCCGTGTGTCTGGACATCTTACGGCGACGTGCAGCGGGCTGGATAGGTGAGGGCCCGACAGCCTGACAGACAAGACACCAGGCACAGAGAAACAAACATGGCTGAGATGCGGACACCATTGCTGAGCAGTTCCTCTGGTCACTCCACCCACCAGCAGCCGGTAGCCGACTGTGCATCTGATGGTCCGCTGACAACACACAGCAGGGAGCAAACGCATTGATGAGAACATCAGCCATTGATGCATTCACAGTGTTCTCACCACCATGGTGGGCGGGCGCACCTCCGTCCACGCTTGGCTCCACAGGTACATGTACACCTTGGGCTGCACAGACCGACAGACGACAGATGGATAAACATGGAGGGAGGGAGGGAGGGAGGGAGGGGCGTGCGTGCAAATGGGGGGATACCTGAGTGGAAGCCGGCTGCTGCTGCTCGTGCTGCTGCTGCTGCTCAACGGCCTGCCTCTCCCTCTCGGCCGCCTCCTCTGCAGACAGACAGACAGACAGACAGACAGACAGAGACCATACGAACAAAGAATTTCGACAGGGTTTTTGTGCACACACATTCGGCCAGCCCGTGTGCTTGCTGGTCGTCCTGGGGCGCGGGTCGAATATATGGGTCACAGGATATAAAATGTAGACGGCGATTTTCTTCTGAGACCATATGAGCAAACATATACGACCGTCGACAGGGTGTTTGTGCACACATTCGGGGTCTCTCTGGTCACTCAGTCACACGTACCCTCCTGCCTCTCCTCCTGCTGCTGTTCGTAGTGCTCCTGCTGGGCCATGCGCGGCTGCGGCGCTGCTCATCCTCCTCGTGGGCCATCGCGCGGCGGTGCTGCTCGGCGGCCTCCTCCTCGGCCATCTGGCGACGCTGCTCTCCTCCTCGTGGGCCATCGCGCGGCGGTTCTCCTCCTCGGCCATGAGGCGGCGCTGCTCCTGCTCGGCGGCTTCCTTCTCGGCCATCTGGCGGCGCTGCTCCGCCTCTTCCTGCATGCGGTGGCGCTCGGCGGCCTCCTGGTCCTCGTCTGCAGACACGACAGCCGACAGCCACCATGGCACGTGTCCGTATGTGAGAGCTGGTATCATTGGCATACCAGCTGCGCCCTTGATCTCGCCCTCTGCAGAGAGAAGACGGCACCAGAGTGACACGCAGCACATGTGTGTGGGTTTGTCGATATTCATGTGTGGCCTCGCACCCACCGTCGTTGAGCTGCCCGCCCTCGTGGTCGGGGATGTCTCCCCGCTCCTCGAACCACTGTACGAATTCACCTTGATCCTGGCGCTGTTGCTGCACCTGACCAACCAGCCACACACAGGCCACAAAAGGGCAATGTGTGTGTGTGTGTGTGTGTGAGTGTGTGTGTTTGAGTGCGTCACGACAGTGCTGATTCTCTCGTGTGTGCATACCTTGGCCTTGGCGGTGGGCGAGGCGGGGAGTTCCCTAAAAAAAAAAAAAAAGGGCGGGGAGGGACTCCTGCACACATGGGAGACAACGGGACGATCGTCAGAGTGTTTGGCTGCCCTTCTTGTCATTCTGGCTCACGTACCTTTGTCGACATCGTCCCCATCGCCCCCTGCACACACACGACAACACACGCAGACAGCAGCAATGGGTACCTGACTTGTTTCAGATTTTCTTTTGTTCCCGAACCATTGATGGCTTGTCCTTGGTGGTGTCGTTGGTGGTGTCGCCCTGGCCTGCACACACAGCCACACCCCACGCACATCCATCCATCCGTCCATCCATCCATCCGTCCATCGACAGCTGCATGGTTTGTGTATTCACACCTGCTGCCTCCTGCTCGTCAGCATCCTTGTCAGCTGCACAAATGGAAGCACACAGCAACCACAACGAGTGTGTTTGTCATGTGTGGCTGGACTCCATATCTCTCACCCGCTCCGCGCTGGTCCTGTTGGTGCTTGATGCCGCCGAACGCCAGCACCTGCTCCATGCGGTGGGCTGCATACAGTCACACAAACGAATACCGACAGACAATCTCCCGCACTCCACAGCACGCACACATACCGGCGGCTTCCTTGTCGGTGTCCTGCTCTTGAAGGGCCATCTCGCCCTCCCGCAGGTAGGCCCAGATGGGCCCGCGCTGCTCCTCCTCCTCGTCGGCCATCGCGCGGCGCTCGGCCGCCTCCCGCTCCTCCCCTGCAGACAGACACGACAGCCACCCATTATGACACACCCCAGTATGTGAGTGTTCGTGTTCCCCTCACACCCACACATACCAGCGGCCTTCTTCTTCTTGATGGCTGTATCGGTCGGCAACACAGACAGGTGCCACATGCGCACACAGCCATGGACACGTGTGTCTGCGGCTATGTGGTCACGCACTAGACGTACCTGCCTGCACCTGCTCCTGCTGCTCAGCCGCCAGTTGCAGCGACGCCTCATAGTGCTCCTCCTCTGCAGACGGACAGACAGACAGACAGACAGACAGAACAACCGAGCCGCTAACCATCACGCGCGTCGCTCTCTCAGTGTTTGTTCGTCCCCGTCCGTTTCGCACCGAGCTGCTTAGACCGCCGGATCATGGCCCTCTGACGGTCCCTCTCTGCAGACAGTCGTGACAGCCGCACACCATGACATGACAAACGTGTGGATAGATATCATAGGCCTCTGTCTGTTTGCACCCGCATCGCATACCTTCTGGCGTGCCCTCGCCACGCACCAGCGACTTCAGCGCTTCCCAGGCTGCATGCCATGCATGGGTCGACAGACACAGGACAGAAAGAGACGGCTCTGTGTTTGCTGTCGACCCTCTCTGTGGGGGGCGGGGGGGGGGGGGGG